CACCTAGACTCTACCTCCAGCGGCCCTCGGGTAAGTTGAGTTTGAGACCCCTGTTTTAGAGCCTTACATGGTCAAACCCCATCATATACGTATCTCAGATTTGATCCAGCATCACACACCATCTCACAGTTTGAGTTCATCAGGTCAGTTGTTGTTGGTGGTACCCCGCACACATTTTAAATCTAGAGGGGATCGGTCTTTCCAAGCAGTTGCACCTCAGCTCTGGAATGCACTGCCCCAACCTATATGCAGCCTTGATTCTACTGATGCTTTTAAAGAATATCTGAAAACATTTTACAAGCAGGCTTTTAGCTAAGTGTTTTTTATTTTTTACTACTTGTATTCTTGTATGAATGTAATGCTGTGGTGATGTTTTAATTTACAAATTTACTGTATTGTTTTTATTTCATTTTATTTTATGTGAAGCGCTTTGTGATTTTATGTCTAAGAAAGGTACTATATAAATAAACTTTACTTACTTAATTTATTTTTCTAAACCTTAAAACTATGCTGTGTGTGCAGGGTTTCCTAAGTGTTTACATACAACTTCATTAGGCCAAAGTAAGAGCAGATCATTTGTGGACAGTCCTGCAGGAGATAAGCCAGACTCTGCAGAAAAAATCCTGATCTAAACGTACCTGTCTCTGAACCTTGGTAGATCTGAGCCAGAAGGCTATTGGCTGAGGCCAGAAGACAGTGAATCTGTTTGGTCCAGCCCTCGGCTCTCCCAACATTCCCAGCTTTGTCCAATAGACCCCCCAGGCAGGGCAGATGACTGTAACCCTGACAGGCCACCTGACAGAAAATATGAAATTTTAAAAAATTAACAAGTTCAGACTGGGTTAGGGTTTAAGAAACACTTTTTAGTTTTGTGAAAGACACACCTCCTGTGTTTTTCTGTTTGTGCTGTCCATCTTGGAGAGAAAATAAACTCCAAGTTTGTCCTTAAACAAACAAACCAGTGAAGAATATCAGAACATGTGGATTTCAGCATTTGTTACATGAATCAAAATAAAACCTATTATTAAATGTTACTTGTATTATGTATAATAGATGATTGATGGTTTTACCTTTAGGGACCCACAGGCTCTGGGATAGTAAATCATACAAGCCTTCATCCCCTCCATGGCTGCAAGCTCACACTTTGATCACACAAAGAATAAAAACAATGTTTCTTCTCTTAACACTGAACAGCTTAGAATTAAAGCTGATCCTAAAAATACAGTTTACAATCAAATTCAACAAGTTTCCTTCAACTCAATGTGTTAGTAAATCAGATGATCTATAAATAACTTTTTTTTACAAAGTGTCCTGAAGCTCAAACTTTAATGTATAATGAAATTAATAAAAGTTAGAGCTGTGGTCATACTATCCTTAAACGTTCACCAACCTCTGTTTTGAGGCCTAGAAGTGATGTCAAAATGCCGAGGATGAAGTTGAGGCTGACCTCCCTGGCCAGTTCTGCGAGCTGACATGAGTACTGCAGCAGGTCTTTCAGGATGCTTACAGCCAGCTGGATGGTCTGAACCGGAGCCTGAGACTGAAACACACCACAGAGCCAAGTGTTGCATCATTTCACACTTCAGGGTTTCTTCAGGGTCACGGTCTTTGCTCAGTGTCAGGATCAGCTGCTGAGGCCTGGGTGCCACAGCAGACACTGCAGTTCATGTCAGTATTGGCCATAATCATTTTTAGGAGGTGATCAAGTGGTATGGCTGAAAGTGGGAATGCACGATATAAACGATATACGGTAGAAACAATATAAATTTGTCTTATGATAGAGATCTGTAGTCTACCGGCCAACTGCGCAATTCTTTATGATGATGTAACCGGCTGGAGTCAAAACAGAGGAAGCGGGAAGCAGCCTGGCTGAGAGCGCAAATGAAGAGGGGAAAAAAACATAACTTATCCGGACCTGGTTCGGGTGTGCGAAAATGAACGCCGAACTGTTTACATGTTTACGTGATGGCGCGTCCTGTCAGCTGCAGTGGGAGGAGCGCGTGCCGCGGCACATGATGATCGCAGTGAGGCGACTGTCAGTRCAGGTGAGGACGCACAAAAGCTCACTGAGTCTGGACCTCGTTTCTCCTGCGGTCATAGCAATACTGTCTCCTTGTACAGTAGTGAAGCGCTGTGGGAAAGGCTGACAGTCAGACTGTCTAAAGCATAAACGGGATGATTGTTACCCCGCCAGAGCGCGCAGATTAAACACGTGGAGTGCAGAAAAAGTCATCTGCAAAGTGTGTAGACAGGAATAAATACAAGCAATTTGTTTTACCACCTTAAAACGAAGCAGGTGATTCCAAACACAAAATCCAGTGGATGCAGATATCTATTACATTAAAGTTATGGTGTGTGTGTGTGTGT